AAAAATTAATGCAAACTAAAAACATATTTACTTGTATGCTTTGCTAGTGAATTAACTTTATTTTTGCATGTATATTTAAAACAAATACTACAATATTTTAGAATGAGAACTAATTTATAGACTTATTGTGAATCATGATGATATAAGATGGAATACAATATTATAAGTTTGAAATTTTGAGTATTAAATAAAGAAGCTTTCAAACAGCATAAATTTCTATATTATTAATAAATAAAATTTTAATACCAAAAAAATTATTCAAAATAAAATTGAATTAAAGGTGATCCCTAATAAAATTAGGGGGCTGTTGAAGTTTAAATAATATTAAGCAATGAATAATAATGAATAATACATAACAATAATGAATACATAAATTATAATAATACTGAATTTTAATAATAATAATGAATATATAGTTAAAGGCCTTATTTGAATAGCAGGTCAACACTGTAGAGATAGCCTCATTTTCATGTACATACATTTTTATCTTACTTAAAGTTTTAGAGCTGACTCTAACTGACTTAGCACTGACTCAGCTTACTGTAACTGACAAACAGAAACCCCCATAAATAAGACAAAATTGGAAAGCAATACACTCATTAACTAAATTTGATCGCATAATAAAATTCAGAAATGTGAAATTTATAGAAAAAATATTTTTTTTTAAAACTTTGTACTATCAACATTCAATTATACAAATAGGCTTACATAATTTACACTAAAAATGTAAGTTAATAAGTAAGTTATAAGTATTAGTTAAGCAAGTTATTTAAAAAAAAAAATTTGTACTGTCAATTATTAGAAAAAAATATGTTTTATTTTGCAACCAGAAATATGTACAAACAGTACATCAAGTATTGGCATTTTGATGATAAATCATTCAACTGTAAAAATAGTACACATATATAATTTACATAAAATCTTTATTATACTATCAATCAAGTGAAGAGAATACATTTCATTTTACAACCCAAAATATGTGTAAACAGTATTGAACACATCTAGTTCAGGCACTTACGTCACAACACATTCAACTATAAAAATAAAAAGCTTACATAATTTACATTAAAAATATAAGTTATTAACTCGTTAACAATTGCCGTATTTGGTCCCATACCTCTCGTATAAAATTCAGAAATGTGAAATTTATAAATGGATAAAAATATATTTTGAAAATACTTAAAGTATCAATTATGATGAGAAAATACATTTTATTTTAAAACCAGAAATTTGTAAAAACAGAATTGAAAGCATTAAGCTGTGACACTTTGGTAATAAGACATTCAACAATAAAAATAATAAATATGACGTATAAAAAACACATACATTATTAACTTTAAAAAGTTACAATACCTGCGGAAATTTGTAAATAGATTCCCCTACCAAGTATAGTTTTTCTTATGAATAACATGTGTCTCCTATGAATAACACAGGTTTTGAACGCTTTTTGAATAAATAACTTTCCAGTTGACTTTAAACAGGCAATGAAATTGCCAAGTTGATTTAAATCTGAAATTTTTTTTTCCATGTATCAAATACTATCTATGTATCTATCAAATACATCTAACTCAATAACGTAGACAACTGAATAACATATTATAAGCAATATCATAAAATTTTTGATTAAAACATTATCTAAAAAGAGAGTTCGGCAAAAGGTCATTAATTACATGTAAGCATGACAATTAACCACAATTAGTTATTACAGATAACCCCAATTACTTTTAATCACAAGGAAAAAACTATTACAGGTAAACATGATTAAAAGTAATCAAAATCAACGATTATAAGTATTCATGATAAGTAATTGTGACTACAAGTAGTAAGCATGACTGCAAGCAATCATAATTAGTGAATATAGATCATCAAAATTACTTGTAATCACAAAAGAAACAATAAGTAATCAAAATCAATTATAAGTAATCAAAATCAATGATCATATGTAATCAAAATCAATGATTATATATAATCAAAATCCGTGATCATAAGTATTCATGATCTTCAATTGTGATTACAAGATACCAAGTAATCATTTCAACGATTAAAAGTTGATTGCCCATAATTACCCATAATCAAAATCTAATAGTCACAAGAACCTGAAAGCATGTAATAATACACAATTATCGATAATCATAATTTTAAGTGATCTCGATTAAAATGTAATCAAGATTATACATAATGTATTACTCAGTAATTATTATCGGTAACAAATTAATATGGTAATCAATTACTGTCATCTGTTTCAAATCTTTTCTAAGGAAGTACTTTATATGGATTTAGAATTCCTTTTGGATCAAGTATCAAATTAATATGGTAATCAATTACTGTCATCCGTTCCAAATCTTTTCTAAGGAAGTACTTTATATGGATTTAGAATTCCTTTTGGATCAAGTAATTTCTTTAGCGACTTCATGGTGGCAATAGCATTGTCCGTTTGGTTTAAACACAAACATTTTGCCTTCTGATATCCAATACCATGTTCGGCACTAATGCTCCCTTTTCTTTCTGCAGTCCATTTATATATGAATGGTTCCATCAAGGAAAGAACTTCAGGATCAAATTCTCGTGTAGTAGCCATAAAATGAACATTACCATCCCCTAAATGGCCACATGCTGCACAACGAGTAACCTTTTTACCTAGACGTTTTCGCATCACTTTCACAATTTCATAAAAATCCTTGTGCGGTAACGACAGGTCATAACTATAGAAGTATCCTTCTTTAAGTGCAGCTTCCGCTACTTGTTCTCGAACTGCCCAGATACCCTAAGAGGCAATATAATACAAATTGTTTTTTTTTTTTTTAAACAACACAAAACAAATATCTCAATCTAATAATAAGTGATTTAAAACAAGATATCTATAATGAATGGGTGAACCTGGTATAGGTGTTCAGCAGGTAAGTTACCTGACTTGGAGTTTTTTGGAGCATGCTTCAAAATGCAATAATGTTACAGTTCGAAAACAGTAAAAAAATTTTTTTTTTTTAAAAAACAGCTTATTTTTAATTTTAAGAAAAGAGTGGAGTTACATAATCTCTTTTAACATTCACAGAATATTTTTTACGGTAACTTTCTTATCAAAATAAAAATTCATACGAAATATTTATTTGAAAATTGAGAATGTGACTGGTACATTTTAAACAGAAACAAGGTTGCCTCTCATATCTGGAAAAAAGTTCCCTGTGTTTTCTCTGTATGAATTATACACAATGTATTAAGAGGAAAGAACTACTATGCTCTTGCATGAGCTATAGTGAGCTAACTATACTAGTTTTAATTGCTGGAAAAACTTAAGAGTAAAAAGGGAGCACACTTAAATAATGCTATTTTAAATGAAATAGTTTAGTATAGCTGAAATATTTTCCTTAAATATCCCATAGATTGCCCTTTGAGTGGTCACTATTTTTTAAAAGATGAAAATAAAAAACAAAATTTCCTGTATTCTCTCAGTTTGTAAAGAAAAACTAAAAATTCTCTGCATATTCCCTGTTAATTTCGGGGATTTTTAAATTTCCTGTATATTTTAACATAATAAAGTTTTTAGAAAAATCAGTTTTGTTTTTAAAAAATCCATACGTTTAAAAGTGTAGCTATCATAAAGATTACCACTCCATAAGCTATTAAAACGAAAACTTCATAGAGTGAACACATAAACGAAGAATTAATTTTAAATAGAAGCTTTAGTATAAAAAAATAAGCAGATCAATCAAGGAAGGTACACAAACAATGTTTGCTCATGTGCAACCTGTGCAGTGCTTTTGTTAACATTAAACTATGTTGTAGGACACACAATACTATTAAAAGGATAAGGTCAAGCAGTTATTGTATAAAGCTTTCATTCATACTTTACTTACAAAATATCATGAGCATTAACTGAAATCGAACAAAAAGCATACAACATTAAAATGTTTATGAATTTACAATCATATAATTTAAATTCGAACAATCCTAAATGACATTTTTGGCAACAATGTTCAAGACTGCCACACAAACATTCAAAACCAGCATGATTCTAAAGACTGAATTTATGGAAAAATATTTTTACTTATATCACCATATTTACATCCCCCTTTTTAAATATCTAAATTTTTTTTTTTAAATTATAACTTAGTAATGAGCTTTTTGGAATGAACAATAATTATAGAAAAATTTCTATTCAAATAAATAAATCAATAAATAACAAATTTAATCCAAATAAATTATATATGTGGCAACAATGTTGTAGGCTGTCAAACAAATATTCTAAAACAGCACCAGTCAGAACGACTTTTCTAAGAAAATTACTTCACATAATCAACTTTATATATTTACAAACCTTCATCTAAATGATAAAAAAAAAAATAAAGCTTAGTTATGAGCTTTTTTTAATGAATCACAAAAAAAGGAATAAAAAAGTGTAATAAATATACAGAAAGAATGATTTTGAATCAAGCATATTTAGTTAACCAATACACATTTAATAATAGTTAGTTTTAATACATGGTCGAAATATTTTCAGAGGAAATTTTCCATTATTTGACACTTCAGCCCATACCATTACAGACTTCTTGTTCTGAAAGCGTTTTACAGTTCGAACACTTTCAGGTATATCATCAAAGGTTACTGAATATACAACATTATTTTTAGCATTATAGCATTGTTCTGAGCAAAATATTTTCACACCAGAAAAGATTATATTGTCAAAACTTTTGGTACCGGGCCGGTTTAGCACTTTCTTACATCTTTTTAATTTTTGTGCAGTTATCCAGTCTTGATCTTTTCTTTTGCGATAAGGATGAAAACCCAAGACTTCATTTAATATAACTTGCTTATTTTCCCCACTCGCGTTCTCTTCTGCAGTCATATTTCATTAGCAGAACGTTTCTTTGTATCTTTTTTTTCATTAAAATCAATTATTTTCTTCTTCAATTCTTTTAAAGTGCTCTTTTGTAGGAATTGAGAGTGGACGTGCTCTTTTGTAGGAATTGAGAGTGGGCGTGCTCTTTTGTAGGAATTGAGAGTGGGCGTGCTATTTTGTAGGAATTGAGAGTGGGCGTGCTCTTTTGTAGGAATTGAGAGTGGGCTTGCTCTTTNCGTGCTCTTTTGTAGGAATTGAGAGTGGGCTTGCTCTTTTGTAGGAATTGAGAGTGGGCGTGGTCTTTTGTAGGAATTGAGAGTGGACGTGGTCTTTTGTAGGAATTGAGAGTGGGCTTGCTATTTTGTAGGAATTGAGAGTGGGCGTGCTCTTTTGTAGGAATTGAGAGTGGACGTGCTCTTTCGTAGAAATTGAGAGTGGGCGTGCTTTTTTGTAGGAATTGAGAGTGGGCTTGCTCTTTCGTAGAAATTGAGAGTGGACGACCATACCTGACTCAATCTTTACAGCTATTAGTATCTAACAATCGATTTATAGTTCGATAGATAATTGTTCTATTAAACCTGAGAGATTTTAATTGCTTAAAGATTCTACCTGCAGAAAATTCTCAATCGAAAAGCTGTTTAAGCATAACCTTTTCAATTTTTACTTTGAGCTGATTCTAAATATTTTGCTTCAAACAAAAATTTTTTGCACTTATAAAAAGTGCCACTCACAGGAATAGTAAAAGAGCAATTGTTTTACAAAACAATTAAAACTAATTCTTATTTTTTAGAGTGTTACAGTGTTTAGAAGTCATCCTGTACAAGACTCTGATGCCTCAAATATGTTAAGTATTTCTTAATTTTATAAATTCTCACAGAAACTCTTATTAAATTGTACGAAATATGTATTATTAACAAATATTTACCTTAATACGATTAAAATCACAGGCAACAGTACCATCATTGACGAGGTTCTGATCCATTAAATATGTCAAGCA